GAGGGAGCTGGGGGGGCTCAGCCTGGAGAAAAGGAGGCTCAGGGGGGACCTTCTGGCTCTGCAAGTCCCTGACAGGAGGGGGGAGCCGGGGGGGGTCGGGCTCTGCTGCCAGGGAACAAGGGACAGGAGGAGAGGGAACGGCCTCCAGCTGTGCCAGGGGAGGCTCAGGTTGGCCAGGAGGAGGAATTTGTTGCTGGAAAGGGTGGTGAGGCCTTGGCAGGGGCTGCCCAGGGAGGTTTGGAGTGCCCATCCCTGGAGGTGTCCCAGGAAGGCCTGGCCGTGGCACTCAGTGCTCTGGGCTGGGGGACAAGGTGGGCATCGGGCACAGGGGGGACTCGGTCTGCGAGGTCTTTTCCAACCTTAACAACTGTGATTCCATAATTTCACGGTTTAGATTCTGTTTCCTTTTCACATGATCCTTGCTGAGGAATGCTGAGGAAATCTGGGAGAGGCAGCCTGTGCCAGGCAGGGCAGGGGGGATGCAGGATGGCTATGCCAGCTCCTGTCCTCCTCGCCGGGATGCTGCTGAGCGTTTTGGGGATATAACAGTGGGTGTTCTCTTGCCACTTGCCAAGATCCCCAGAAATCACAGGTTACTGTGTTTGGGAAAGAGAGAAGTGCCTCAATTTGTTTTAAGAGCTTTGGAAATCATAGAAGATGTTGAGGTTTACTTATTTTTACGTCAGTGTGGATTAATCTTGTATTACCAGTCCACTGTGCATGGCGTGAGTTCAGCCAGACAGTTGCTCTTTGTGAAAAAAACTGGATTGTTTAATCCCAAACATGCTTGGCTGCAGCTTTTGGGGCTTAGTCTAGGACTGGATCTTTTGTAAGACTGGTGGTCCTGGACCTGGAATGTGGGTGCATCATACAAGAGAGATGGAGAGGGACTTTTTCCAAGGGCGTATAGTGATACAACAACAGGGAATGACTTCCCGGTGCCAGGGGGCAGGGATAGATGGGGTATTGGGAAGGAATCCTTCCCTGGGAGGGTGGGGAGGCCCTGGCACAGGTTGCCCAGAGAAGCTGTGGCTGGCCCTGGATCCCTGGAAGTGTCCAAGGCCAGGTTGGACGGGGCTTGGAGCAACCTGGGCTAGTGGGAGGTGTCCCTGCCCATGGCAGGGGGTGGAACAAGATGAGCTTAAAGGTCCCTTCCAACCCAAACCATTCAGTGATTTTAAGTTCAAGTGCCTCATTCTGCATTAAAACAGCCCCCTGTGTTAAAGCACTTGTGGCAATTGCATTTCTGTCTTCATCTTTCTTCATTCCCTTCTGTGTAAAACTGGCCAGGACATTTTAAACATTCCTGAACTGAGTTTTTAAGCTTGTAAAATCTTGTGCTGTCCTTTCCAGGCAACAGAAAGTTACCAATTAGTCACCTCAGTGTGGGTTTTTTGTGCAATTCTAGCAATAGCTTCAGGTATTGCCTGTGTTCCCTCTTCACGTGGAACATCACTAAGATCTCAAATATTGAACAAATATGTTCATGTGTACGTTTTCACACTGATGTTTCCTTTCATGATTCTTAGCAATAAATTGTTTAGATTGGTGCAGATTAAGAGATTATTATTTTATGACTCTCTCTTAATAATAGTTTGTTAGTGTTGCCTACAGGCTTACAAAATCTGGGGAAGAGTGAGCAAAATATTTTAAATATTCCCAAGCTGGCAAATCTGAAGATCTGCAAAACATCAGGGTCAATAACAATGCAAATATAGCTGTTTAAAATTTTCCTTTTAGACTTTAAAATACCTGTTCTAAAAATAAAATTCACTTTCTCCCTGTCCATTAAAATATTCCATGCTGAGGAGGGAAGGTTGTATTTCTTTCTTATGCTGTTATTTATTTTTATAATGCGCCCAGTTGATTGTGAGTGGTGTTTTAATTAACAAAATTTGAGATTAATGCAATATTAAATGGTCTCCACAGCATTAATTTGTAAATAAACCTCAGAGTTTATTGCATGCCTGGGAGGCATTTATGGCTTCGTGTTCTGCCAGCCATTATTAATTAAAATATGCAAATGGTGTCATTTTTCTGGGAGTCTGCAAAACAAATGGGGCTGTTACCACGGTCCAGTTCTGTGCTGAACAAGGAGGCAACATGGAATCGTTGTGTACAATTTATGGAGTCACTGTATTCCATTGATCTGGAAAACAGTGGGTATGGATTGCTCTCCTCACTTGCAAGCCCTCAGTTGTTTTCTTATGTCATAATAACCTGCTGTCCTTTGGTTTTAAAGAAAACAGGAGCTTTTCAAAACAACCAATTATCGTTTTCTCCCTGATTTTTTTAGTGTGTGTTGAATGGAAGGTGGATTTTCCTTGGAGACAAGGAGAAAATGAAATAAACTACAGCCAGTCCTTTATTTGCTGTCTTTTTGAGAGTCTCCTGACTTCTTGTTGTGAATGTAGGCCCCAATCATAACTCTGAGACAGCCTGGGATGTGAAGGGAGGGCAGGATGCCCTGCAGATAGGAGGGAATACAAAGGGCCACTAAAGATTTAGGATCTGGGAGAGTCCTCAGAGAGGCCAGCTACTCACATTTTCTGCCTCAAGTAATTGTAGCATTTTGCATTCTTGGCTGACAATTTTTCACTTGTCTTTCCTGAGTCAGATCCTGGCTGTTCATATCTTCAGGATAAGGAGATCCAAATCCCACTCACAACCACTAAGGTGGTACCACCTCCCATCACTACAAACAAATTTCCTACTCTGTCGTTGCTGTTGTGGATGAAACTATTGATCAGTCCTGGAAGAACTATTTACACCTGTGCAGAACTGAGTCAATACTAAATGTCACCCACTGCTGCCTGACCTTCATTTTTTATGAGTGGTTTTATTCTTGCTTAATCCCACTTTCCATTTGGAGACCGTGTTGTCTGAACTGCTTTGGGAAGTTCTGCACAGAAAGCAGCAAGAAAAGCCTCTCCCTGGCTCAGATGCAATATTGCCCCCACAGCCTCTGCCCTGTTCTCTAGCCCTGTTGTGAAAGATCAGGTTCCTTCACCATCCTTTTGTTCCTGGCAGAGTTAGCTTTGTGTTGCCCATCTCCATATTGTCATCCAGGTCACTTACAGGTGATTTGGTTATTTGTGGTTTTCTGGGAATTGAGCTCCACCTGTGATTTCCTGGCTCATCCCCCCATGAAGGATGTACCTTGTGTTGGCCCTTCAGCACATCTTTCCTCTGTGAGTTTTCAAAGAAAACCACTAATGGCTTTGAGATTGCTTCAGCCTGGGTTTTATACAATAGCATGAACTTCATCAGGCTTTAATTTCAGCAGATGATTTAAAGATGCTCAATTTATGTACAGCTTCTCTGCCTATTCTTTCCCAGTTCTCAGCTGAGATTTTACCCCTTTGTTGTCCCAGTTAAGTCCAGCAGTGTCAGCTCTTTGACCTTCTCAACATCATCCCTTCTCCTTGGAAGGTGCCACACTCCTCAGGTTTCCTCTGCAGTTTGAACATTTCTTTGTTATCCCTTGCCTTCTTCCCTGTTTCTATTAGTTGTGCCTTGACTTTTTCTGACTCTGTGCCGCTCTGGGTGTTCTTGCTCTTCCTTTGTGCTGGTCACCTTTGTCTGACTTAGCCACTATTTTCTTTATGCTTCCTTTGGCTCGGGCAAGTTGTTTTCTTACTGAATTCCCTGTTCTGCCTGCACTCTGAACTGCTTGGTGCTTCTGGTCTTAATGTTGGGGTGGGTTTGAGTTGGGTTTTTTTCCTTATTTTTCTTGGGTTTTTATCTGACCCAACAGGAGGGTGGTGCCAGGGGATGTTCAGGTTGGCCAGGAGGAGGAATTTCTCCCTGGAAAGGGTGGTGAGGCCTTGGCAGGGGCTGCCCAGGGAGGTTTGGAGTGCCCATCCCTGGAGGTGTCCCAGGAAGGCCTGGCCATGGCACTCAGTGCTCTGGGCTGGGGGACAAGGTGGGCACAGGGCACAGGGGGGACTTGGTGTCTTTGGAGGGCTTTTCCAACCTGAACAATTCTGGGATTCTGTGAAAGGCTTATAAAAAAGATATTAAAAGGGATGGTTGTTGGAAGATGAGAGATACAAAAATACTCTCTTATTACCTTCTTTTCTGTGTCACCCTGTCTCCTAGTAAAGCCTGTCTGCCCTTCTTGGACCTGTTCACTGGCCTTCTTGCAATTCTCCTTGTTGTTTTTCCTCCAAAAATGTGCTTAATCGCTTTGGGGTTTGAGTGCTAACTGGTTGTAGCTGTGACACAGTCCAGGAGACTGTTTAGTAGAGAGTAATTTCTCTAAAAAGCTCACAATAGTCTTTCCTGTGAGAAGGTTTGTATACACTTGACAAAACAGTAACAGTTCCATGGCAGATTTATGGCTGGGTTTGGGAACAGATTAGCCAAAGCTTAACAACAAAAGTATTTTACTCAACGTCTGAAAAGGGTTTTCTTGGTACCCAGTAGGTGCAATATAATTGTTTTGGTGCTGCTAATAGTCATTCTTCAAGGTCTTATCTGAATCTTCATCCCCCAAAAAGCAAATTATCCTGGAGAGTGAGTGCTACAATGTCTACACTGCTGGGTGGAGCATCAGCCAAAGATTGGGATTCTGGTAAACCAATAGAAAGAGGGATCTGGATAAGAGGTAGAAATGAAAATAGGAAGAAAGGAAACAAGAAGTTCAGTCTAATCAGTCTGTAGCTGCATAAAGTAAACCTAATTGAATAAGCTTGAATTTCATCCTTGTGCTGCTGTGTGTGTATGTGTGGCATTAATTTGATAATTTGATAATTGCTAATTATTAATCCTGTATTCAGGATATTGTCATTCCTCTGTAGCATGAGAGTTCTGATGTGCTACAGCTTTATCTGAAGTAGCCCATCTGCAATAACCAGAGTTGCCTTAGAAACAGAGATCAGTGTCATCCCTGCAGACATTCTTGGAACCTCAGGGGTTAATTCTCCACTCTATGCACAGAAGGAAAGTAAAGAAAGCTCTGTCACTGACTTAATTTTCTCCCTTTTTTTCCCCTAAAGGCTTTTGATAGGGAGGGTGACCCCATAAGATACCTCATTCAGAATGGAGATCCTCAACAAGTTTTTAATCTCTCTCAAAGGTAAGTGGAAAACCCTTGGAAAACTTTTCAAGTCAAGTGAATGTGTGGGCTGAGAGTGAAAGAAAAGGTTTGTAATTACACATCCTCAGCTGCTCCTTACACATAAATGAGAGCTCTGTGAGCCTTATTGCACTCTGAAGTTTTTCACAGGGGACTATTTATTTATTTTGAACACTGTAAGTAGGTAAAACTCACTGAAGTGGAAATATTCCATTTAAAAGAGTGACCAGGGATTAATTAAGAACCTTATACCTGTCAGCTCTTGACTAATGACAGGGACAATTTTTGCTTTATTTTCCTGCCTTCTTGCAGCTTAGCCTGTATTAAAAATGCCTTTTGAGCATTGTTTTAAAGCATCTTTTCTTCAGATTGAATACCAGCTTAAATAGAGTGAGAAACAGAGGGTGCATAATAAAATTATGAGCACCAGATCTGTCTGTGCCTGTCCCACCACCCCTTTCTTTATTTTATCTATTATTAGCTATTATTTACCTCTTATTAGGTATTATTTACCTACTGGTAGCTATTATTTACACTCCAAAGTATCTTTTTCCTTTGCAGAAGGAAGGGAAGGTGGTGAGTTGACTTCCTGTGGTAATGATGGGACAGAAGTAACCCGGGGCTAGTTTGTGTATAATTGCAAAAGATTGTTCTAATTTGGGTTGAGGGGGACTTTGTGAACCTAAATACACAAACCAACTGAAACAGGTTTGTATGTTCTAGGGAAGCTCCAGGTGGTAAGTCTCCCATTCATGGAGAGCCAAATCATTTAGGAAAGAATGTAAAAACCCCTGGAAGATCCCAGGAGATGGTGCTCTCCTCCTCCAAGAGTGATGGATGGGCCCTCTAGTGATAAAGACTTGTCAGGTGAGGGAAGGGACACCTTGGAGAGGGGAGACTTTCCTTCCCTGAGGTGGCCAGGTCGGGCTGCTGGTGTTATCCATAGGTGTTATCCATGGCTTAGGACTGGAGGTTTTGGTGCAGATCAGGGAAGGTGTGTGGTCATCAGCTCAGATGGATTGCTAGGGGTTGTAGCTCCAGCACAGCGTGGATTTGTAGGGATTCCTGCTCAAGGGACGGTGGCAACCCTCTCCTTAACACAGAGAAACTCAGTCTGACCTCCTCTGTGACCTTCAGAAGGTGAATAATCTATCCTGGCTCCATGAGAGCTGCTCCAGTGGGGGGTCACACTGTTTGGAAAGCAGCATTTGTTGATTTAGGAGGTGAATTGTCTGACCTGGCTGCAGGAGGGGTGTTCCAAAGGGATTTCTCAGTGGGTAGTTGTTTCATGTAGTTTGTGCTGTTCACATCACACCATAAAATTCCTGGTAGTTCTCCATTCCAGAGAGACTGAAAAAACATGTGGGAATTCAGGACAGCTTCTGGCATGAAGGTGCTCTGGAAGTGGGATCCTTGGCAGCTCCTGTGTTGCCCGACTTTGGATGGGGGCAGTGTGGAGATACCCAGAAGTCAAGTTGTTAAATGTGGCATGTGAATGAATTCCCAGCTGGAAGTCCCCCTCCATCCCTCCATCTCCATGCTCCAGGACCCTTCCTGGGCAGGCTGACACCCCCACCCTCACAGCCCCCACGTGTGTCTGAGCACCACACTGTGAGCTTTGGGGCCCTGAACTGCTGCCTCCTGATAAAAAAGGGGAGCTCTTTAAAGAGTTTTCCCATTTCTCTTCTCTCGGAAATGGCCTGTGCAAAGTTTCCTACAGCCTTTTTTTTTGTTGTTTTTTTTTTGTTTCCTGGCTGCTGGAATGTCTTGAGAGGAGATGAAAGGAGGATTAATATCAAACAAAGCACAGAGTTAATGTGAGTGGCATATCAAGGCTACAGGAATTCACCTCAATTTTAGATACTTTACGGCCGAGGCAGAGACCATGAACATGATTCTTTCTCTGCCTTTTTCTCCTCTGGATGATTTCGTTGCATCCTGGAGCGTGGCAGTGAACCCCTGTGTAATTCCACCAGGAGTATGAGTACTACCAGTTTTACAGCTACTACTACATCTTTTTTTCCCCTCAGTCTGAAGGTTGTGAGGTGGTTTTGTTCCTCCTCCTTTAGCATTCCAACCTGAGCACCATCTGTAGTAATTCCTGCCTCCTCATGTTCCCCAGGGAAAGCAAGGATTGAAAGCTGGGGTGGTAGAGGAACGTGGGTACGTCTGAACCCTGGAGGAAAACACAGGATATTTTGAATTTAGCCTGGCTTTTGGATGATGTTCATCTGTGGGAACAGAGAGACAAGAGAGTGTAATTTTTCAAGCAGTAGGAAGGAGAAGATAAAAACGGTGCTATGATAGTGCAGAAATATTGGGGAAATGTGATTTATGCAGCTCGAGGTCAGTGTTAATAAAGCAGGATTTGGTGTCAGTGTTTTATTCTTAGCTCCATTTTGGTATTTTTTTTTAAATTAATAATTTACCACTTAAGTGGTTTATGTTTTATTTACTGTTCCTTCCCCATGAAAAGAAATTGTTTGCATTTTATTGCAGCGTCTTGAAGAAATGCTGAAAAGTATATATTCAATCTATTATGATAACTAATTGATTTGCCTTCTCGTGGGCTGTCTGTATGCAAAGCTAAGAATTTACCCTCAGTCTAATTAAAGTCTTAATAGTCTAATCAAATTATGATTAGTCTAATTATGACACTAGTGCAAGAAGCTAAAACTACAAATACAAGGATGTTTTAGTACGTGTATATTGGTAGATATAAAATATGTCTCATGTACTTTATGTATATATGTAATTTTTAAATGCATATTCATATATATATACATATACATGTATATTAATAATATAGAGCTATATATTTATTTATAGTAAGTATAGCTGTATATTTTTATTAATATATATGGCTTTATATAAAAATGTATTTTATCTATTTATGTATTCTATATTATATATTATGTATATATTAATATATTATACACTATATCATAATGTATATAGTAATTAATATATTACTTTTATATATTATATATTATAAAATACTTATATATTTTATTTAAAAGCCACATATATAAAATATATATGGCTTTTTATAAATATATGTATATGTGTGTATATATATGTGTAGATATTATATTACACACACACACAATTGATAGCCTGAGAGAGTATATATATAGTATACATATAAAATATATTATATATAAATATATATATTGAAAAAGTTATGTATAGTGTACTATATTATATATAATAATACACAAATATTATATATATACATATATTATATTATATAATGCTTAAATAAAACATATCAATATTTACAAATAATATGTAAATATTTACAAATTATATATCTATATATTAATTTTTTTTATTTTATGTATATTTTAAATATATTTAGGGAATATTTAACATGTATTAGTACTATATTTTAAATTATTATTTATTTAATATATTAAATTTATTTAATATATTTATTATTTAATATTATATATACAATATGATAAGTTTACACATTTGTATATATTTACAAATTTATATATTTTATATATTTATATATATACAGACACAAACTTTCTCAGGTGTGTTCCTTGCTTGGGTGTTACACTTTCCCTTTCCCTCTGGGGAGTCATTTTCCCTGATGAAGGGATCTCTGGGATCTGAGGGATCTCTGCTGAACCCCCAGCACCTGAAATCCTGCCCTGGAAGGAGGAGGATGCTGGTTCCATTCTCCTCCCTGCAGGATCCAAGGCCTGGCAGCTCCTTATTTACTGGGTTACAAACCCATGCACAATATCCACCTCCCCTCTGGATTTTACCAACCTCCAGGGAAGTATTTTAGGTCCAGTGAAGCTTTTCCTTTCTGGGTGAAGCCAACCAGGACATGAACCCATGTTTTTACCATGAGGCAAATTGAATGGAGCATCTCCTGGAATATTATTTTCTTTGATTTCTGAGCTTGGATGTTATTTTACCTCCCAACCTTTCAATCCTAGGGGAGAATTATCCTCCCACTCACGTTTTCCACCAATTTCTGTTATATTTTTTGGAAGAAATAGCTCAGCAGTAAGTGTTGCTATTTGTCTCTGTTGGAAGAAGTCTTGGCCTGGAACCAGTTCACTGAATAAGAAATTAGAGCAGAAACTCTGCAGGAATTTATAGTCTAGGGAAAAACCATCATTAGATACAGATGTTACACATCCAAACATCCTGGAGAAGTTCAGCTAATGAGACCTCCTGCTTTGGGGGGACTTTGAGCTTTGCTTTGGTTTTTAACTTGCTTTAATAAAACCTCTTTCTGTTACGAGTAGCTGTGGAGGTTCCGGGTCACGAACGTCAGATGTGGGTACAAAAAATGCAGTTTATAGCTGTGCCCCACCAGTGCTTGTGTCTGAGAGATCCACTGAAAATGGCCTGACACATGGAAAGTCACAGCATCCCCAAATTCCAGCTGGTGTGGATTTTGTGCCATGAAGTCATGTGCTCTTATGCTTTTCTTCAGATATTTTAAGCTCAACATGACATGTTTGGTGGAGTCCCATGGGAGAAGCTGCTTAGCCGTGGAACAGAGGATAAGTCATCCTGGATCTGTGTTTAACTGTCACCCTGGATCCATGCTTTTTGGGGCACAGTAGTTAAATAACCCATGGATTTAAGAGAGGAGTCAGTTTGTTACACGCTCACTCAGGTTCCAGTAGACACAAAATCCTGTAAATGAAATGTGGAGCTTTGGGGGTGGTCAGGGCCATACCTCTGGTGCCATCAGGGCCATACCTCTGGTGCCAGCTCAGTTAAGCAGAGTTTAGCTTGCTCAGACAGGATTGTCCAGACAATACCTTCCCTATCCTTCCTAATATACCAGTAATGAGTCCATAGTGGGATCTTGCCTCTCTGGGTGCTTTCAGACCTCTACAGGAGGAAATCACATCATCCTAGAGAAAAAAACAGCACTGTGTGTGGCTTCCAAATAACCTTTCTTTCAGTGTCCTTTTAAAATGGGTGTCAATAATCACAATATCCTAACTCCTTGGAAGTGTCCAAGGCCAGGTTGGACGGGGCTTGGAGCTACCTGGGCTAGTGGAAGGTGTCCTTGCCCATGGCAGGGGGTGGAACGAGATGGGCTTTAAGGTCTTTCCATGATTCTATAAGTCATTTTCCTCAACATTTGCTCCTATGGGAATATTTTATTACTAGGGACTTGGGTATCTCTGTGCAAAGAGCATTAGCTCGTTGCAGCTCTTACTCTGAAGTTACACAATGTGTAAGTTTGTAGCCTTTCCCTATAAAAATGACTGGTGCTTAAGTCTGTGTGTGTTGTATTCCCAGAGTTTACTGCTCAATCCTGCTGGATATCAGAACTCCTCAGTGATTAATAGCCTGCTCGTTATTCTCTCTTCTCATGTATTGCAGCAGTAATAGTAATCATTAAATAAATATATATTTAATAAATAAATAGATGAATAAAGTGCAGCAGTAACAAATAGGGGTCCTGTGTTCAGTGCAGCTCTTTTTGTAGTCACCTGTAGATCACTAGGTTGTTAAATAAAATTAATATGTCAATAAATGTTAAATAAATTAAAAACTAGGTTGTTATTTTAATCCTAAATTGTCCAAGTGGAAAACATTAACAGCTGGCTCATGGATTTTTATCAGCCTTTACCTACATAAAGCCTAGAGGGAAACCTTGGTGTGGCACAGAGTGATGGAGCAAAAGTACCTGTGGATCTCTGTCAGCTGCTGTGGTGACGTGCTGTGGGTTTGTTTTATTGCAGTTCTGGGCTTCTGGCCCTGGGAAAACCCTTGGACAGGGAAAGCACCGACCGCTACATCCTGATTGTCACGGCCTCGGACGGCAGACCCGACGGGGTGAGTGTCCTGGGAAGGCTGAGGGGAGCGGGCTGTTCTGCTGGGCACTGGGGGGTGGGATGGCTGGAGTGCCTGTGAGATGGGTCTTGACCAAATACATGTGTGATCTGCAGCGATTTTCCTTGGTCTCCCAAAAGTTTGTGTGGGTGAAGCCTGTGTGTCACTGAGGAACGGCCTTGGGTGATGAAACAGAGTTCAGGGACCATCCAGAGGAGGGAGATGAAGATGGGGAAGGGCACTGGAGGGTGTTGCCAGTGCATCACGGGCCATCTGGAGGTTGTTCTGTCATCAAGGGGCAGTTTTTCTCAGCCAGCAGATCCCTGCTGCTCAACAGGAAGTAAAGTTCCATAGTTTTGCTTCTTTTCCTGAAGATTCCTGAAGATGGGGTCTGGAGGGGAAGCTGTGTGAGGAGCCTGAGGGCACTTGGTGTGTTCAGCTGGAGCAGAGGAGACTGAGGGGAGACCTCACTGCAGTTCCAACTGCCTGGGCAGGGGCAGAGGAGGGGCAGGGGCTGAGCGTCTGCTCTGGGGGGGCCAGGACCGACCCAGGAATGGCGAAGCTGTCCAGGGCAGGCAGGTCTGAGACAGGACAAGGTTCTTCCCCCAGAGGGTGGTTGGCACTGCCCAGGCTCCCCAGGGCAGTGGGCACAGCCCCAAGGCTGCCAGAGCTCCAGGAGGGTTTGGATGATCCTCTGGGGCACAGGGTGTGACTCTGGGGGATGGTCCTGTGCAGGACCAGGAGTTGGACTGGATGATCCTTGGGGGTCCCTTCCAACTCAGCACATTCTGTGGTCTGATTTTGCTGCTTCTTTGTGTTATTCTTCAGCAAGAGCCAGCACCGTTGAGGTTTTGTGTATTCAGATACATTCATCCTCTAAATATTTCTTCTCCGTGCTGTTAAAGACCTTATTATTTTTTTTCTGTCTTGTGCTTTTTTCCCTATTTTAGCTTCTTCAGCTCACAAGGTTTGCCTTCCTGCTCAGTATTTACTCAGAATTTTTTTTTCCCAAGCAAATATTGGGAAAGTTTAGAGCCTTTCTACAATTTTGTGGCAACATGGAGTAATTATAGGAGAGCCTGCACCTTTTCCATTAAAAATCTGGTTATACTTATCTTTGGAAATCTGTTAGTTGTGAATTACTCCCCATTTCTGAGAGCTGTGAATTCAGTTGTTTTGATCTCAAACTTCCAGCTGTGAAATCTGAAGATGTAAATAAAAGATCTTCATGTTGTTTCAGGCTGTGTTACACTCCTTAAATACTCTCTGGGGTATAAAAAAGGCAACTGAAAAGATACTTCCTCTTCCTTTCATCTGTAGATTCGTTTGCTTTGCCCTGGAATTAACTGGACATCTGAATGTTAAAATTAATCAGGAGATAACAGCTGGTTTTTTAACAGAAATCCAGTCAGTCATGGTGAGATGGTTACAGAAAATAGTTGTGTATGGGGTGAGAAGTGACTTTGAAAATCAGCTTTGTAAAACTCACCAAAAATAAGCCATGGAGGGTTCCAATAATGTTGTCTCTGAACTATGCCAGGGTTGAGTACTTTGACAACATCATCCACTTAAAAAATCCACTCCCTTGCTAAGTCATTATCTCCTTTCCTCCCTCTGTACCATTGGCAGGGGCTGCCCAGGGAGGTTTGGAGTGCCCATCCCTGGAGGTGTCCCAGGAAGGCCTGACCGTGGCACTCAGTGCTCTGGGCTGGGGGACAAGGTGGGCATCGGGCACAGGGGGGACTCCATGGGCTGGGAGCAATTTTCCAACCTGACTGATTCTGGGATTCTGTGCCAGATGTTTCTCCCTAGAGTTTTGTACCTGCCTGGTGTGGTGTTTGTTGTTCTCTGGGTGAAATGTGGTCACATTTTCTGGTTTGGGGCGTGTTCTCTGTTGCTGCGCTTTGGGGTCTTTATCACCATGTCTTACCTGGCTGTAGCTGTTTTGTTCTGTTGTGGTACTTTCTGTCAGTGGTGGGGCACCTTTCTTCTTGAAGTAGTCCAGCAATATGACTTATTTGCCTGCTTGTGCCCCCAGAGCTTGTGGTGGAACCAAAGGAGGAAGAGCTGGGCTTACCAGAATCCCAAACGGGGCTGGATGAGCTTCTTGGCTTTTATTTTACACATAAAACAGGGCAACTTAACCAAGCTATTAAATCTCCATGCCTTTTCCATGCCAGGAAACAGTGGGTTTGACTAATTTGCCAGGCTTCCTTGTGTCTTTTCACAATTTCCTTGATTTGCAGCTCTTTTGGACGTGCTCCCTGCTGTCTGACAGCTCCTTGCTGGCTGGTACCCTGCCAAGTGTTCTGAGGACAGGGATGCTGGTTTCAACAAGTCACTGTGATTTCAGGGAGGAACTTTGATTTTTAACTAGTTTTTTATCAGGAAGCAACAGTGTCTCTTTAAAAAGAAAAATTGAAAAAAATCCTACAATTGCAAAACTCCTGCTTCCCAAGCTTTGTTCACCCGCTGCTTGTCATCCAGCTTTGCTTGCTCTGAACAATCCCATTAGTGCCTACAGAAAACGGGGGATCTGATTGAATGACTTGTTTCAGTTTCCCTGAAAATCACAAAATTAATTCCCCAGGCAGGTACAATGTAATTTAAATCACATTAACATATTTTAGCTAGCAGCATATCCAACCTGATCCCTTTCCATCCAACACTGGGCTGTTTGAAACCAGCTATTAGAGTCAAATATACTCCAAGTGAGCTTTTGTATTCTGTACAGCTTTTGCTGGATTTGCTTGTTCCTTTAAAATTTGAAAGGCATTCAGAGGGAAAAAGACTTTATTAGTGTGTGTAGGGTTTTTGTTGTTATTGTTGTCAGGAAAAATACAATGAAAGGTTCAGGAGTTGAGATAAGGATGGGGAAAAATCACTCCCACCCTCCAGTGTAGGTCCGTTCCATGGGGTTAGTCCCTCAGGAACAGGCTGCTCCAGTGTGGGTCCCTTCCATGGGATCAGTCCTTCAGGAACTGCTCCAGTGTGGGTCCCTTCTATGGGATCAGTCCTTCAGGAACAGGCTGCTCCAGTGTGGGTCCTTTCCATGGGGTTGGTCCCTCAGGAACAGGCTGCCTCGGTGTGAGTCCCTTCTATGGGATCAGTCCTTCAGGAACTGCTCCAGTGTGGGTCCTTTCCATGGGATCAGTCCTTCAGGAACAGGCTGCCTCGGTGTGAGTCCCTTCTATGGGATCAGTCCTTCAGGAACAGGCTGCTCCAGTGTGGGTCCTTTCTCTGTAATCAGTCCTTCAGGAACTGCTCCAGTGTGGGTCCCTTCCATGGGATCAGTCCTTCAGGAACAGGCTGCTCCAATGTGGGTCCCTTCTATGGGGTCAGTCTTTCAGGAACAGGCTGCCTCAGTGTGGGTCCCTTCCATGGGGTCAGTCCTTCAGGAACTGCTCCAGTGTGGGTCCTTTCCATGGGATCAGTCCCTCAGGAACAGGCTGCTCCAGTGTGTCCCTTCCACGGGGTCAGTCCCTCAGGAACAGGCTGCTCCAGTGTGGGTGCCCCTGTGGGGTCACAAGTCCTGCCATCAAACCTGCTCCAGCGTGGGTGCTTCTATCCACATGTCCACGTGTCCTGCCAGGACCTGCTCCAGCATGGGCTCCCCACAGTCACACCCTTCTTTTCAGGCATCCCCCTGCTCCAGTGTGGGCTCCTCCAGGGGCTGCAGGGGGTCTCTGATCCATCACAGACCCCCATGGGCTGCAGGGGCACAGCTGCCTCCCCAAAGGCTGCAGGGGAACCTCAGCTCTGGCTCCTGCAGCACCTCCTGCCCCTCCTTCCCCACTGCCCTGGGGGCGTGCAGGGCTCTTCCTCCCACGTGTTCTCTCTTCTCTGGACCCAGTTACATCTGTGCAGTAACTTTTTTTTCCTTCCTAAATCTCTCTCTGTCCCTGTAGTTCCCAGCTACCAGAACCTTGCCTCACAAGCCCAATCCATAAGAACTTTCCTCTTCAGTTGTGACATGGAAATTTGGCGCTGGAACATTTCTGTAACTTGGTTTTAGGAACAGCAGTCGTAGGATCACAGGATAAATTTGGGTTGCACGGGATCACAAGAGGTGAGATTCCTCCAGCACTGCCAGCTGTGGTTGCACCACCAATGTAATGGGAGCAGGGCATTGAATACATAGTTTTCAAGTATAAAGATGCATAAAAGCCATGTCAATACTCTTACAAGGAGGGGAAAATGAAATATTTTTATTGATGTTTCATACTTGACTGACTAAGTTCAGTCTTTGTAAATTCACCCAGTGATTTTGATTCAGAAATTGTGACCGGCACTCCAAACATTTCAACATCAATAATAACTTTCAGATAAACTCTGAACAAAGATTTTCAGCCCTTATGACATGAAACCAAAGGGGGCATAACTTCAGCTCATTAATTTTTAAATATCAGTGTATAAAATATTGCATTTTAGATGGAATACCCCAGCTGGGAGATGCTGCTCCGCTTTGAAATTGTTGATGCTTTTGGAAAGAAATTTATCCCACGCTGCTTTGAAAGCTTCTCTCTCAAGGTGGTGACTCTCTTGCCTGTTCAGCATTGTTCTCATAAAACTAGGAGTGTTTTCCTTCATGGAGATAAGCAAGGCTTGTTTGGCATCTCCAGCCCTGACACAGTCTTCTTTGGCCCAGGGAACCGTGCCAAAATGGATCTTTCTTTCCATCCTGGTATCTCCAGGAATTTGGAGGACAGCAGGACACTTCCCACACAAGCCCATGTTTCTGCTTGGGAAGCAACACCAGCCCCAGTCCCCTGGGGAGCAGCATTTCTTCGGAGTGCCTTTCCCATAATCCTGGAGGTACAAGTCCCACAATTGTTAAGGTTGGAAAAGACCTCCAGGGTCGTCGGTACCAACCATCAACACAGCACCACAACCATGTTCACCGCTAAACCATGTCCCCAGGTGCCACAGCCACGTGTTTTTTGGACACTTCCAGGTATGGTGACTCCACCACTTCCCTGGGCAGCCCCTTCCAATACTTTACA